TCATCAGACCAGGATCTAGACCACTAAATTACCTCACATGTCAACTTCCCATTTGGGTCTGAACTGTGAACACAGAAGCCTTTGGCTTCAGTTATTAAGCCAGCTTTATACCCATACACAGACACCAGAGAGATCCCAAGGAAGTATTTCTATTATTAAAAAAATATAAAATTTAAATCACTATTTGTAGCTTCTGGTGTGCCCTAAGAGGTTTTATTTTATCCACTAAACTGCAATGGATGTTTTGGTCCTTGCCACGTATGAAGAGGTCTATAGCACAACCCTTCAGTGCAAAGGATGTCAGTCTGTTTTCCCCAGCACTGTGGAGCAGCATGGGTTCAAGGCAAGGAGAGAACTTAAGTTCAGTTTATCATTAATACTGGACAAAAAAGGTTTCAAACTTATGTACTCTAATTGTATTTTTGCATCTTCATAAAAAATGTTTATCTGATTTCTGCTGGCAGTATGTTTCACTACCTTGTCCATCAGCTCTGATGCTTTCAACTCTGTCCAGGCAACTTCTATTCCCCCTGGTCTCCTAATTATTACTTTTCCAGATGTTTACATTAGTAAGTCATGGAGTATGCCAATCCTGTCTAATGAGAGTGACAGACCATCAGTTGTGCCACTACAGGCCAATGCAGTCTTCTCCTGAAGATACTACTGCTTTGAGAGCATGCAATAAAGTGCAAAAATGAATACGCAAAAGAGTTTGGAAAAGGCAGGTACTAATAGATACACCAGAAACAAGCATGCTCAGAGGCAAATAATTTACAGCACATGTCCTAGGGACCAAAACCACAGGTGTTTTATTAACACACAAAGGCACTGAGCTTAAGCAGGGCCATCAGATCACGCAGGCCAAACTCCTCTGCATTTGCATTAGTTGACTCAGGATTGGGCTTTTTTTTTCCTGACTACAGACAGTGCAGTGAGTATAAAAAGGACAATTAAACACCACTGCTGAGCACGTCTCTTCTTCCCATGTTGCACACCCTGGCAACAAATCAATTTTGTCCTTTGCTGTGAGACTTTTTCTCTCTCCCTCTCTCTGACGGCTCAAAATTACTCTCCCAGAATTCTCTAGAGCAACTTTTTTTCCCTTCCACAGTTCATCCTGCCAGTTGCCACTTTAGTAAAAAGCATATAGCAACCAACAACTTTATGTTTTCCATTCCCTCTAAAGGTTAACTATAGGTGAATGTTTTATTCTTTGTAACAAGTAATTGACATGCATGAGCCAACTTTCTGTTCAGAACATAATTTGTATTCTTGAGAGATCTGTGCATGTTCTTGTTCATATTGCTTCTTCCCTGAAGGGATCTGGAAGGGGGAGGAGAAGGAGAAGCTTTTAAAGCTTGGCTCAGAAAAGTTATAGAGAAAGATCTAGGCTTTCAGCTCCATCAGATAAACGGCAATTGAACTGCACAGTGTACAGTACACTGGCACATACTGATAGGAAAAGAACAGAGTAAAAAGGGGAAGGAGAAGGGGAGAACTGAGCAGGCAGAAAAACCAGAATACTCAGTGTCCAGGCAAGCTTGCTGCTAAAATAAAAATAATCAGAAACTTTGATCCCAAAGGTTGTTGGGCTCATTAGAAACACAATTCAGGTGGGAATTTAATGAGAGCCTTCTACTGAGAAGTCGATAGAGTTCTTCATATACTTGCACCTGGGCACTCAGGCAGCATTTGCTTAATGAAACTTAATTATTTGATTCCAAGACCACTGAAATCAGATTTGTTTCAGTCACTTAAGTGGGTTTAGGATTAAGTTCAAAAAAGCACCATTTTAATGGGGGTGTGGCAGGGTCATTTACAGAGTGCACTTTTTTCTTTTTTTTAATAGAGTCTTCTCATGTGGTTACATCTTCTTGTGAGAAGGTCTTTTTAAGATTTTTGTAAAAAAAAAGAGTGTCAGCATATATGCAATGCCTGTAATTTAGAACATAGCTGGTGGGTTGTGGTCTACTCGGTCAGGCTGATAGGTGTGGTGGGTACAGCTGTGTAATCCTTGTGATGCCAGAATCTGTCAGCTGCCACTTCAGGCCTTCAATTTTACCACACAATAGTAATTTTTTCTTTCATGGTAAGGATCTTAAGCCCCCTTGCATGTAGTTTTTTCAAAATTAAACAAACTTAAGACCCCTTTAGCAAACATAGAATATATTGAAAAGTTAATGTGAAATCAAATACAGAATATATTGGAAAAGTAATGTGAAATCACATTTAGAGACTTGATATTCACACTTTCACCTATGAGGGTAGGTCCTGCTTACCAGCAGTAACCCCCTTAGCTTGTAACATTCACAATTGTGGTTTTAGAAGAGTGAACAGTATAGTTTTACTGAAGAAAATATAATTTACAGATGGAACTGGGACAGGATTATGTATGCACATTATCATAGCAATTTATGAGATTTAGCTAGTGGAGAGTCTTCACGCTACTTAGGTTACAGTATCCTCTTGTAGCCCCCTCCCTGCAGTTTCCCACTGTACCCACTAATAAGCATTCTCCACACATGGATACCAGTTGTCTAGTAAAAATTACTCTAAATTCTAAGTAACTAAGGCAACTTAGGCAGAGACGGCCACCTATCTTGTATAATGAAAGCCTGAAGGAGCACCATGAGGTTGTTCTTTCCACTCACACTTTTATTTCAAACAGGTGTGCAAAGGGAACATATCAGAGAGATTTAAATAGAAAGTTAAGCAGACTGTAAATTTCCATCTATGCTTGGTCTAATTAAAGCTATGAACATACGTGAGACTGAGAATTTTGTTTAGAGTAATCCCCTTATCAAAACTGTCATATGCCAGGAAATGTTAGAAGCAGAGCTGCTTATTCCCCATGTTCTTGAGCTACTGTGTCTGCCATTTAAATATCAACATTTCTCAACATCTTTCAGTTTAACCCACAGAGGTTTTCCCACAGTAACTTCTGGCTGACTTGTGAGCCCCTTACTCATACCAGTGATTAATTAATTCCACAAATAGCTCCACTGTCTGCAGTGGGATCACATTTAATTATGACTACCTCAATGCAAAAGGTTTCCAGCCCTTTAGGACTAACGCAGATAGTGCTATGAGATAATCTCCCAGGGGTTGTGATCACCAGACTTATTTTCTACTTCTGCTTGCGTGAAGAAAAAGCCAATGTCAGCACAGACAAGTGGCAAAATGTCCCTACTGCAAGCCATGCTAAGCCTAAGTTTGGGGAGTTTTTTATTGTTATGATCTTACAAAGAGCTTTCTGCCTCTTTCAACTCGTACATTCTACCATAAAAGCAGAATATTAAGGTCTAGGGTGCAAGGATTTTCTCAACTTTACACTGTCTCATTTGGTGCAGTACCTGAGCTTTGTGCCTCTACCCAGTATTTGCATTTACAAATAATTTAAAGTCTATACGGAAAAAATAATTATCTGGTATTTATGCACCACAGTAAAGTCTTCAGGCCTCTGCTGAGCTAGGGGCCTCCTGTCAGACACTGTAAGGATATGTAATTGGCTTATGATTCCCCTCACTATTATCTGTTTCTTCCTAAAGGGTGATATTCTGAGTTTCGTACATGGATGCATGTAAGATCTTACATGTGATCTCACTGCAGCCAATGACATTATTTCTGAGATTAACTAATGACCACTGTGTAAAAGTGCTCATGTTCGTGTTATTGTTAATGAAGGGAAAAGGGGAAAAGAGCTTTTCAGTGCAAGGACCACAATCCTGCATGAAGCACAGGACTGGAAACAGGTGCTCATGGATCAAGCAAGCCCTCCTGAGGCCATTGAGTGGGTCCAGGGCTTAATCTTCATACAGACCACAGGGCTACCCATTCCCCTACAGCTCTTCTTGCTGGTGTCTGACGGACAGATTTCCCTGCTAAGCTTTTGCCTGAATGTTACAAAGTTTTCTTTTTTAAGAACTGCTGCGTAATAACCTAAAATAGCCTGCCCCATCCATCCTGAGTGCATCTGGGCAGAGTTCCTTCATAGTATCTGTCATGCCTAAAAATATTCCTATTATGAAAACAGAGACAGAGATGTCTGTTTTTGTGTGCTGTGCCTGTGTGTTTAATGTACGTGTAAGTGCATGTGGAGTAAGTCCGAGGGTGAGCTTCCTCCTCCACGGAGTGTGAACGCTGTACTGAAGGATCATCTAATGTCATAGTGTCATGATTAAGGGCTTGATACTTGTTTCTGAATATCTGTCTATAGCTCTACTACTGCACTATAAATACATCTAAACCAAAGCAGACGGTATGTAAAGCAGGGCAGGGAATACCTCTGACTTCTAGACTTGCTAAACTTGCAAAGCTGTGGGCAGTGCTGCTCGCAGTAATACTTTACAGGCGTGAGAGAAATACAATAAGCAGTGAGGCAGGCTAAGCCTCACAAGTGAGATGAGGTATAATACTTGAATGTTTCCAAGGAAGGAAACTAAAGGGCAGTGCAAAGTAGGTAGGATGTACTTTGGTGTGTAGAGAATGACAGTGGTGAGGGCCATAGTGACAAAGCACAAAGGTGGGAGGTGTTTTAGATCATATGTGGTTTTCCTTCTTTGAAAGTTTTAAGTCATAGAAAAAGCCCATAAAGGATTCAGATATGACCATACAGAAACAGGAACCGATGAAAGAAATTAAGTCTTGGGGTAGAGGAAAACCCTATTAGTTGAGTGTTTCTCACAGCTTTTTTCCCCTTCTTTCTTTTGAAATGATGATGTGTTCAGCTTCATAATACAGGCAAACCCTGCAACTGAATCTGCCCAGTTTAGGTGTTCTAAAGTGCAAAAACATGCAAGCACAAACACCTGCTGAGTTCAGGAGAACAGAAAGAAACAAAAGAAAGGATAAAACAAAGAAAATGCCCAGGTTATCTCCAGTTCCCTGTGAACCTAGTCCAGGTCAGCGCTGTTGTGCTGGCTATACTGCAATATATGAGTTTCTGCAGGATGCCCACATTTTATGAAATAGATTTTATTTCTCACAAGTGCTATCTTTACCTGAGGTTAGTGTTACTTTGAAACCTTCTTTGCTTCATAGTTTCCACAGTTCTACAAACAGTATCTCCATGTACTCATCCTCTGTGACTGCTGAAAACTACTTCTAAATTTCCTGGAGGGAGAGAGACAGTCAGATGAGGCAGCACTTTCCTGCCCAGTTCTGCACAGCAGAACCAGTAACCCTTTCAGAAAGACTGTCATGTACCCCCCTGAATATCCTGATTTAGTGCAAACTCACATTCATATATATAATTAACATTTTAAAAGGATTTCTAAAGTGTGTGTCATAGCCTATAAAATTCTTTGGCAAATGCAGAGGAATTTAGGTACTTTGAGGTTAAAACAGTTTTGGCAGAATAAAGAAAACTAGAAGCAGTAATAAAAAGCCCAAATCCCTGAAAGTACACAATGTGTCCTTCCCCATGCATTAGGCTGCAACAAGTGTGTTGATAGGCAGCATTGGATATGCAAGGATGACATAAACAAAAAGCCTGGGATTGCAAAGTAAATATTTGGGTGTATTAGCTAACTGTTTGTGGAGGGGTTTTCCGCTTTTAAATTTGTTTGTATTAATGTTTAAGTCCAACTCACCTTCTAAAAAAAGATAACTGCAATGATCTGTCTCCTGCCCACAGTCATCTCTTCCATCAATATTTTTGCTTATCTCTCTTCTCATGTTTCATGTTATTTTAAAGCAGCTCTTTAGCAATCCACAAAAATGTTAGCTATCCAGCTAGGTTTAAGTGGACCCCAGCTGAAGTAAATACTCCATACAGGCATACTATCTTTTCCATTTCTTGGTGAGTCCTCTTTGGGCCTGCTACATGTAGATCAGGAGTCTTTAAAATGTTTAGTGAGGAAACCATGCAATACAGAAACTATTGCTTTCACAGTGCTGTGTTTCTATAGTAACCATCTTATTAAAGCACTGCAGCCATCTGCTCTAAATACTAGCTTCATAAGACCATCAGGACTAGCTTAAAACAATATCACATGTTCATTAAATATTAAAACTAGAAACAAGAGGACAAGAAGAGAGAACTACAGGAGAGAGCTTTTTCCTGTTCCTTCAATCTAATCTTTGAAAAAAAACCACACTTGTTTGCTCTTTTTAGATAATTTAACAGTTCATGCCACTGCTTTAGAAAGAACTGTGACCACACTAGCTGCTGGTGGCATAAACTACAACTTTCTGGAATGTTGCAATTACAAACAAATGAAGAGTATAGCTTCCTGGGGTAGGTGTTCAGTTTGTGTATGTTCCTAATAACAGATTTTCTGGACCCTGTTTTTGTAGCAGTACTCTCAGACATAGGAAGTCTTTGGAGGAGGGAGCACAGGGGGAAGAGCCAGCAGCAGCTGAGAGGTGCCACACTGAAGCAAACAACTGTCTGTTTTTATCATAGTCTGCTAAAGGGCAAATGCCTCAGAGAAATGTATAATCACTCAGTAATGCATTCAGCAACCTCCAGCTCACAGCCAGAACCATGAGACTTAAACCCCCCTATCACTTGTATCCTAAGGAGCAGGCGCCTAGACACGGTCCTAATTCACAGAAATGCCTGCCACCTTCAAAAGAACTTGCATCAGCAGCAGCATGTGACAGCAAGGTCCTTAGATTAAGCACACCTGTCATATTTGTTTCCTTTAAGCAATTTGAAATCTGTTGGCTGTTACCTTCTTCGAATACTGTCTTTCTTCAAACTGTGCTAGAGAGCCAAAGGTAAGCTCCTGAGACCCCTTCTCTGCCTTTAGCCCATGGTATCTAGCTCACACTCCAGAGTTATTTTCACTGTGTTCCACTTCCTGCTCCCTCATACTGTGCTGCCCCTTTTGAGGCCTGGACCCCGGAGTCAGAATACATGGGAACATCTGAAAATTTCACTGGAACAAGAAAGAATAGGAGAACTCAGATCTTCCCATGGACAAACCACACACCTCTGGCACTACAGCTCAAGAGAAATATTTTCTAGTGTTTTGCATTCTCTCAAACATGTTTCTATCTTCATCCACGAAAACAGCTTAACAAAACCATAAATAATACTAAGATTAAGTACTGTATTGGATTTGTTTTTCCCACTTCTCGTAACTGCCACATTGAGCAAGTGCCTACACTTAAGCTGTTCATTATATTGTCCAGATCTTCTGCGGCAGAGAGCATTTGCATCATGCATGGAATAGCGGCAGTGTGCCCAGATAACACTGACATGGTCCTTGGCCAAAAAATTCACAGTCTAATGGATCACCAGACCCTCACAAAAATGTGTAAGTACAAAAATGTGTACTTATTTTAAGATTCCCCCAGTATGCAGTTCCTCCTCCTTGATGACACCAACTTCTTTGTTTCACACACCGGCTTTTTTTCTGAAGTTCTTCTGAGGTCTCTCAAATACAAAACCCAAGGACAGTATCTCAAAAGGCAGGAACAGTTGTAAGCACAAACACTGAATGAGGAACAGGAGTTCCTGGAGTTACACTAAACATCAAGCTGAACAGTTATGTGAGTCCTTTTGAGAAAAAAAGGCAATTTTTGCACAGGCTGTAAGTCCTCTTTGTGTGGCTTTGTCAGACATTGTTACCTTTCTTCTCAAGCCTCGGCAGGGCTTCAACTGGAATGCTATATCTGTCCAAAAGGAAAAAATGTTCATCAAAATGAGAAGACTTGGCAGAGTACAGAATCTCCTTTAGCAGAAGTCTTCTAGAGCAGATTATCCAACTATTTGTCAAAATGACAGTTACAATTTTGCTGACATGGGAGAAGAAGATGGAATAAATGGTCTCTTCCATGGCTATTTCATACAACTTTTAGGAACAACTTGTCCATCTTTCTCACTGCTGTGCACTGGTACAGGGACATACTATTTAGTATATCCTGATTAGAATTTTCCTGGATAAGGGTGCAAGCAAGTTTGCACAGACTATAAAGAGGCTCACAAAGGAAACATGCTGGCCACTCTTCCCTTCAAAGTTAAACTAACCTAAATTTTCCACATCAAAACTTAACACTGGAGCATGACATTCTTTTACATGGAATTTCATGGTATTTGCTGTGCTTGAGACAACCATACTCTCCACATTTGTGGACCTTCAGCAAGGATAAATGATTAGGCTGCTAGGATAGTGGAACATGAGTAAAAGAGAAGGTCTGATTTTGCTGCTTCCAGTGTATCTCTATTGAATTCATAAATCAGTATTGCTGCAGCTTGCCTGTTAAATAGTAAAGGCTGTTTTCTTTTATTGATGTATAATTTGACTATTAGAAATGGAGGTTTCATCCTATTTTGAAGCTTTGGAGGTTGGCCATGGACAAAGTCAGCCTGGTGGGCAAAGCACAGTAGTGTTTCTTGTAGGACTGAAAGACAGAGGAAGAAACCTCAGCACCTCATTGGCTTAATCCTGTGAACATGAAGAAGCCATTGCTGGTATGGCTCAGACAACTTTTTTTTTTTTTAAAACTTACTCTGTAAGGTGGTATTTTCTTGCTTTCCTAAGAACATCTCTGGGCATTTTCCCCTCTACATTCCCCAGTACTGTAAAAATCTAAAATGCTTCCTTTTTCTTTCATTGTTTCTGTTCTCTTTTGCACACATCATAGTTCTTGTAACTCTTGAATTAACAGGACTTGTTATGTTTTTAAGGTGATGCAAAACATTTTCTGCCTGTGGTTTGTGCTGAGCAGATATTCTGCAGGTTGGTTGCATATTCCCACCTTGCCTTTGAGTGCTGTGGGCAGTTGTGAATGTGACTTAACGTACTGTCCAGCAGGTGTTTTGTAAGTTGTCTTCTCTCTGCACAAAAGCAATAAGCAATTGGTCTGTTAAGGAACCCATCTTCTGCTGAGAAAACAATGAGTAACAGAGACAGAGGAACAGCGTGACCCCAGTCTGCGTACCTCTCAGGTCAGGAAGTCCTCCCACTGCCTCACTCAGTGCTGCAAATTTTGGTAGCGCAATTCAGATCCTATCCAAGATTCCCAGCTCCAAAAGACATTAATGACAAATCCCTCAGGTAAATACCAAGGTGCTGTTTCATCTCTTCTCCACTTCCCCTGCTTTTTCGGCAGATTGGCTTTTCAAAAGGGTGAGGGAAGAGGGGGATTTGCAGCAAATTATAAACTGGTGAGTAATCTCTCACTCTCTCTCACACACACATATGGCAGAGAAAGCTATGGCCAGGGATAGTTGTTTATTATGCCAAGGGATTTTCTTTCCCAAACTGTGCACTGTCATGACTGTTGATCACCAAATCTCAGTATAAGAAAAATCAAAAGTCCCAAGTCTGTTCCTTGGGAGTTGTAAAACTCTTTAGTAAGACTTGCACCCATGCATCTGAAGACATAATTAAACTTTAGGTGTGCCTTTTGCTGAACTTGTTAAACAAGATTTCCATTGCTTTTTTACCTAGAGGACAAACCCATGACAGAGTCTGTATTTATTTTGAGATACTCATCTAAACTGACACAATGGCGGTATTCACCCTGTAGCACACAATGGTAATCTTATAGTGTTCCTGCCCTCCTGATCCAACCGAAAGCATGGGATAAATTAATCTTTATCATAAGCAGCATTTCTTCCCTTATATTCTCTTCACTGGGTGGCTAAAAGAAGCTCTTTGTATAACATAAGAAAATATCATAAACAGTAACAGTAAGAAGATTCTCTGAGTCAAAGATGCACCAGACAGAATTTGTGTATCTGGATGGACCTTACACTGGTTAAGTTAAACGTACTGGTGAAGCCCACAGACATCATAAATACTAATAATCCAGTCCTTATAAACCTCAGTACTTTCTGATTAAGAACAATTTAAAAAGTGCTTCAGGGCTTCTGAAGAAAGACTCCAGAAGATGTACAATGACATATCCAAGAGAAAGCTATAACATTAAGGGATGATTTTACTTTAAGGCTCTAATTCTCCTTTCTCCAAGTCTCCCCATACTTGTACAGTTTCACAGTAAGGTGGATTTGCTTTCCTCAGGCAGGAGAAATGCTACAAAGAGCTCTTAAAATAGGAACACAGCAGTGACCTATTTTCAGTACTTCCATTCTTATTTCTAGGTCCATTATATACAGTGTAATGAACATTGTAATGAACATTCAGCAGTGAAAAGAC